ACAAAAATAAAAATAAAATATTATCTTTAATTCACATTTTAATTAGCTGAAACAGTCATTTCATAAATGAAATAAAATTATTTATGATTTAATTGATAATATTTTTAAGTCATTAACTTTATTTAAAAGTTGTTATAATTTTTAAAACAATTGAAAAAAAGAAAGTTAGCCAAAGGTAGAATCAAATCTAGATCGCCCGCGTGGCAAACGAGTTCGCTACAGACTCAGCCACTTTGCTGTACTGCCATAGTGTAAAATCGACCAATATATGAGCTGCGCTTAAAACTTTAGAGCCCTTTTTCTCAGAATATTCTGGCTAGTGCACTTTACAATTCTTCTGGATGGACACTTTTGAGGTATACTACTAACCTGCAAAGTCTCATCCCGAACTGAATTTCCAAGATTGTAAGGTCCCCCTTGTCAGTACTTAAATTAGCTTGTTCACTGGCATGAACTCATAAAGATTGCATCTGAGAACTCAGTATTTAAATACCAATTCTCAAGAACACTGAGAACATTTTAGAACCAAACAGTTCTCAATTCTTGCATTCAAATACCCACATGGAATCACTCTGGATTAATTGGATTAAAGCTAATAATAATATTGTTTTCAGTGTATGCAAAAGTGAATTTACTATAAAAATGAACATAAATGTGTGAGATTTATTTAACAGAGTTTAAGTATTTAAAAAAAACAATACTAAAACATGTTCAAAATAAAAACCTGCCAAAATGCAAAATAAAATTCAGCAGTATGTGATTCCAGTTTACACAGGTTTAGCTGTATTATTGACAAGACTATGTCTTGTTTATAAAATCGTACTGCCTCATGTTCTTATCAGCATATGAAGGAGTACATGTAGAGAGGTATGAAGGAGTATATGTAGAGAGTTGAAATTTGGCACAGAGTATTAGGTGCCCAAATCATTTGCACATATAAAAATCCAGACTCGTAGGTAGTCAGGGGACCGAGAATCGAGTCAAAATAAAATACAAAATGGCAACCCTCTTCTACAAACAGGCAAAACAGCCACCTCACCCCACCGAAGACAGGTAGGGGAGAGTACCACCCACAGTCATTCTAAAGGTGGCTATACATGTTAAGTTAATCCTTTGAAACTGCCTGACCTTGAGTAACTTTGGAATTTCCTATTACCCACAAACGAAGAAGAAAAGCTCTCAACAGAGGCATAGCTAAGGTGAGGCAGCTTGTCCCAGGCGCCACTCGCAGAGGGGTGCCAAATGGTTTCCAAGAAAACAAGGTTTGTTTCTGGAGGGGAAGGGGGTGCCAATATAGTATCGTGCCCCGGGCGCCAGTTATGTTCACTACGCCATTGTCTCTCAGTCAGTCAGTCAGTCGGCCATGGCATCTGATGACAACATACTGACTGTTCTTGGATGTTTATTGGCAACAAATTCTATTAAAAGTCATGGGAAAAAATATGCATAGAAGTCTATGGTGTAAATAGTAGTAACAGTGATTTGGGTAGCACTGATCACAAAATTAATTTTTCATATGAATAATTTTTTAATGGAATTATTTCAGATCACAAAATTAATTTTTCAAGAGAAATTTTGGGCTATAGATTCTGTTAAAAAGCATCAATTATCAGCGAAAGATCGATGGCAAGTCCATTTTACTACCAAAAAAATTTATGGATTAAATTTTATAGATGAAAAAAAGCTAATTTTAAAATCAATACGTTGTATAGATATTTAATAAATAAGTAACAAATATAATTTAAATAATTATTATATTAAACTATTTCCCTATTTTACTTTGTCTTATTGTTAAAATATTATTTCAAATTGTCGTGTTTTAATTTATTCGGATATTAGAAGAAGAAAAAAAATAGCAAATATATATTAATAATTGTCAACCACATTCGATATTAGTACAAATTGTAAACATTATTATCGCAAATTAATTTTATAATTTAATAATTAAAAAGAATTTATTAAACTTTGTCTTATTTTAAGTTGTCATGTTTTAATTTACTTGGATATTAAAACAATAAATTTTTTAAAATGTAAAAGAAAATGATGTAGAGTATCAAGATGTTTTATGAAAACGGAAGAAATGAATTGAGAAGTTTTCTAAATATTAAAATTATTTATAATTTTAATTTACTCAAAATATTTTTGATCTGAAAATAATTTATAACCTAAAAAATTAATTTTTCAGGTTATAAATAATAAAAGTTAATAAGGTTATAGAAAATAATTCTTCCAAACATTCACGAGACATTGCAGTGACAGACACACAGTCTGACACTGCGCCAGTAAAATCAAATGGTTTTTTTATTCTACTCCGGTGGTCAGTACAGTCCGCCAAAACTGTTAAATTTCCCCCCACACACTACCAGGAATTACTTAAGGTCAGGCATTCATGATTAATCCTTTGAGGATTAACTTAACATGTATGGGCTCCTCTACTCCGGTGGTCGGTACAGTTCTCCAAAACTGTTAAGTTTTCCCCCACACACTATCAGGAATTACTCAAGGTCAGGCATGCATGGTCAATCCTTTGAGGATTAACTTAATGTGTGAACTCTGATCTTAGGACTGAACAAGTAGTTTCTTCTATGTTAAATAAAATTTGTAATCTAATTTTGTAAATTTGGGAGTGCTTCAAATGTGACATTAAAACAGTTTTATGTCGTTACAAGTGGTTTTTTTTTAACATTATCTAGTATAGTAAAATCGTAAGACCGATAAAAATTTGACTTTATATTAGGGTTATCATTACATTCAATGACATTATAATCGGGTTAAACTGTATATTGTTTGTGCAAAATAAAAAAATAATTTCGGACGATACAATAGCCACGATTAATTTTTTCAAAAACAGGAACTTTTCGTTACGCATCGACAAAAATTCCACCCGGGCTGACACGCAATGGAGAGAAATTTTGAAATTAGATAGGTTAATTTCATCAAAGATGCATTGTGGACGATCTCATGGTCATGGCCGGCGAAGTTTGAACAATCACGCCCAAAAGCAGTGATATCAAAGAAGATAAGAGAATGAGAACAAGACCTGCCTTGAGCATCAAAGTGATACCATCTCCAAGACATAGTCTTGTCCCAAATACAGTTTTGCCGTTTTACTTATAGATTATTATTAAAATGTTTGTAACTAAAAAATAAAATTTTGAATTATAATAATCAGTAAAACTTATTTGTCTTAAAAACTATGACAAAATATTACAATAGCTATTACATAAATTTTAATATTGTGTATGTCCAGGAGTTAATAAAACATTAGTTCTAGGGGCTGTCCATAAATTACATCTGCATTTTTCTGGAAATTTTTACTCCTCCTCTTGTCCCAGTTTGTCCAAGTTTCTGTAACCTCTTCCCCTCTTCAATGTCCAATGAAACTCAACCACCCTCAAAATCTATCACTTTATGAATAATAAAATGCATAAACTGTATAAAATTTAATAAAATAAAACAGACATCCATTGAAGTTCAACCCCCCTTGCCTGATTTTATCAGACTCGTCATAATCCCCCATCCCAGTGTATAGACATTTATAGACAGTCCCTAGACCAGGGGTCAGCAACCTTTCAATGGTGTGCCGAACGTAAGTTATAGTGTTATTCCGAGTGCCGACTTGATTCTACCAAGTTTATTATGTTAACAAAATTAGTCCAGTTATAACGGACTTCAAAATTGTATACTGTAATTTTGAAGTTAAGTTGTTAATTGAATTATGTTCTTACATGTGAAGCACTTGCATAGCACATAGATGGCGACACGGAGCTTAAATGCATGCGCTGTAATAGAAATATACAAACAAGAAATTCGTTTTTAATGTCCTTTGCCAAACTATGACTTCCATTTAAATGTGTAATTAATAACTGAAATATAATTTTTACTACATTTCTATTCAATCAGAGTGTCACTGAAAATCGTCTTGTGTGCCACATTTGGCATGCGTGCCATAGGTTGCCAAACTGCCCTAGACTATAGTTCACAGATTTATATTGAATACATTCAAACTTTCTAAAACTAAACAACAAATCTTTTGCACAATTTTCAAATATTTATAATGTAACTTTTGGATAATTTATTTTTAAAAAAAATTATAATAATAATAATTATACAGAATTGCAATTTAATAACTATATATAACCTTAATTTCATATAGTAATTTGCATCAAAAATAAGTGAATGTATAAGTATATAAATATTTACTATGTTATTATGCATATAAAAATATGTATAATATATACAACCAAAATAATAATACTTTATATTTATTTGTTCACTTCTTATTAGTAAAGAGACAATGATAGTAAAATAAAATTTTAAATCCTTCCTTCTCTGTATTACTTTTAGAATTTATATAATTTTTATAATTAATTCCTTGAAAACATATAAATTCAAAAAAATATGAAAAATATTTTAATTTGAATTATAGTTTACCAAAACAATAGTATATGCATTTAAGAATAAATTTAATGAAATTTCCACATAATCAAGCTTAGATGTATCTTAACAATACATAATAAATTTTTTAATAGCACCTAATTAACTACTTATTCAGATTAAATCCGTAACACAAGACTATCACAATAATATATGACTATAATCTTTCATTTTTATCTTTAATATTAAATTCTTTTGCAAGTAGCTCGTATTTAATTTCAAAATAAAAATAATCTTGAAATTCCTATTAATTCTAACATAAGTAAACAAACAAATTATTAAAGTAAAGCTGCCAAATTAATGTAAACAAAAATAATTTATTAAGTGTATAAGTTATAATTTTTATATAATCTGGAATATTTTATTTGTTTATTAACAGTGGCACTTTAAATGACGATTAAAATATTATATCTGTACACCTTTTAGTGACGCAATTTATTTGTATCCATAAAATAACATTGAATAATTAATTAAAATGACCGTTTAGTAAGAATATTTTTGAAATGTTTGTGTTAAGAAAATGTTTATATATGAAATGTTGTTTACATAAATTTTCAACAGACCTGTAAGCTAGCGACATGCACTGGAACAGCTGAGTCAAGGAGACTTCAATGGAAATAGAATGGGAACTTCTTGGCCCGAAAGTGTATATTTCCTTCTTTGTTTCTTTTGGTATATCTTTAAATTGGAAGTCATTGGAAGCTTCTTGATCACAATCTGATTCGTGAACTACGGAAGGAGAGTGAATTTCTTCTGTCACCTCATTATCGTCAATCTCGGACACCATAAAATGGCCCGAATGAATCGTCTCTTTTATGCTCTTCAGCATCCTTTTCTTATCATCGGGAGGCATTTTACTGCACTCCACCATTTAGTCAGACAGATATTATCCATAACCAACTAGCATCTTCTCATATGAGAAAGAAGCCATTTTGTTTGTGATGTCACACCAGATAAAAACACAGATAGTCTTATGCCAGATTACAACAAAATTAGCCAAATATATTTCATTCCCTTCATAATATGGAAATACTGTATTTTAATACATATTTTTAATTTTTTAATAATTTTTAAGAGGAAAAAAGTCACTAGAAAAATAATAATTTCAATTTAAGAAGAGAAAAAATTGTAAGATTATTCTATAACATATGCCGACAAATTCGTTCGGTCAGGCACACAATGAAGCGGCCGGAGGAACAGGATCTAACATGTCCGGACGGACTACGCCGAAAAATTCATGGCGCTTTCCTATCCATCCTGATTAGATTCCGGTTTCCCCAGAACAATATGCTGCTTCCTTGCTCGGTCATCTGGCGGACCCTCAATGGGTATAAAAAATGCTCTTTTCGTACTCATATGGAGGAAAGACCCTTGAAAAAATCCAAAAAGGATTATTCCATCTTTTATTGTTCGTTTCTCTAATGGGATAAAGTAATGAAACATAATGACGATCTGCTAAGAGAAGATGCCTACCGCGAAGACTTTCTATTTTAAAAAAACTGGCTCTACGTGGTATTTAAGTGACAGACATAGGAGAGGAAAAAATCCGGAAAAATCACATGCTTCTATCAATTAGGCGGAAATCCGGAACCATCTTTTATTCCTGCTAAAAGCAGAAATCATAAATGGCAAAAAATTGCAATTTATGATTTCTGTTTGCATTTTAAAGGCACTAGAAAGATATTTCAATCATATTAATTAATGATTCAGTCTGGATCACAATTCAAGTAGCCGGTCTGTCCTAGACATACTGGGACTTCTTCCCGTAGGAGGGAAGAAGACCCAGTATATCTAGGACAGACGACACTTGAAAAACTCCTAAGATTTTTGTTAGAATACTCTATAAATACAACAACTTGACCATATAAACTTTTATCAATGCACACGAAACACGAGGAAAAAAGAAGGTGAACTAAAAGACGAACCATATTACCTCCCGCAAAAGAACTACGCATGAACAGTAAATCATTTATAGAAGACATTTGATTAATTATGTTTGACTTATTAACATATTTTCAAACCAATGATATTACAAGACTTCAGTTAGAAATACAGTCGACCCCCCATAACACTGTTGATTATTCCGTTTTATATGAATTTCATGTTGTACGAGTCACTTAGATTTTACAAATACGTGTGCCGGGCTGGGGTCGACTGTAATATCTTACTATAGTTACAATTACTACAACATTATTACAATTCACCAATAGAAATTAAAACTTTTCAATACCAAATTCCTTAATTGCTGATAGGGGGGATACTTGCAGCTTTCTAGTTTTTAGTCTTTTACCTATCTAGTTTCAAATTCATCGCTATCGTTGAGCTTGTTTATCTTCATTCCAAACCGTTTTAATAAATTTTTAATATACACTTCGCGATAAATGAATTGTACTTTTCTCTCTATCTCTTGTAACGTTCATACTCAAACAGTTAGTAACTGGACCAAGAAATTTATCTTTAAATTTTTTCAGAATATCCATAAGCCTCATCTTTCCATTCTTAGAATTACTTAATACAGTACATAAAATACATCTACATAAGGTGCAATTACAGTTACACCATTATTGCTTCTTTTCATATACGAGACTCGAAATAAAAAACATGAGTTAGTGCATTATTTTTTTTTCAACATATTTCTTTCGTAATTCAATACACTTGGATCAGCGGGACTGAAGTACCATTATGCCCGTTCTGTAATGATTTGCTTCAAGGTCGTCAAAATACTGCTCCGTTGCCAGCGGCGGCCTTAATCATTGCGAGGGTCCGGGCGACAGATCTTTGTGAGGCCTTTCTCCTTTGTGCAAAGTACAGTGGAACCTCGGTATACGACCTTAATCCGTTCCTGGTGTTTGGACTTATACCGAATAGGACGTATACCAAACCAACCTTTTCCATAAGAAGTAATGTAAAAATGATTAATCTGTTCTCATGTAAAAAAATGGCTGGCTTTAAACACCTCGCTTATTGGCTAGTTTCTGCTTGATTTTTCATGAGATCAGCATGTATCCTTTCAACTTTCTCGCAAATAATTTCTTCCGATACGCTGTCGCCGGCACATTGTTTTTCAGTTATCCAAAGCAAAAACAATTTCTCAACATGATCTAATGTTTTCGATCTCTATTTAGAAATTGATTTAACCCCTTTCGTAACGTTAGCAAATTTAATAATGTCTTTATTTTTCACGATTGTCGATATCGTTCTCGGAATACAGAATGCAACAGTTAAATCTCGAACACGTGTGCCACTTTCATATTTCTCAACAGTCTCTTTTTTCAGATCCGTTGTGATTCTAGTCACTTTTTATTTTTCTGTTGCCCTGTTGCAATTCATGATTAATAAAAATAATAAATTACTTACAAATTAAAATCAAAAGAAATTTAACAAAGTTATAAACCGTAGCACCGCGAACGTCTAGTCTGGTGTATTACACCGATAGTGCTACTTGTTCATAGATGGTGCGTATAATTGAATTAAGTCGTATACCGAACAGAAGTCGTATACCGAGCAAAATTTGTTTCGTCCAAACAGGACGTATTCTAAAGCAGACGTATACCGAGGTTTCACTGTATATGAATTGAAAGTAGGTATTTCTGATGATTGACAAGAAATGCAAAAGTTATAAATGAATAAATTTAGAGTTTTAAAGTATTATATTAGAAGATTTATAAAAGTTAGCAAACATAAAGACGACAAATTATTATTTTTTTTACTCTTTCCACTCTGTGGACATTAAGAGGGAAAACCCTAATGGTCCTGCTATAAGAGTATAGCAGGCCCATTAGAGTTCGGCAAGGCACACAATCGGGCGACAGGGTGGTAAGGGACTGGACCCGACACATCCAAACGGACCACCCCCCGAAAATTTCCTAAGGATTCCTTAACCCATCCGGATTTGATCCTGGGTCCTCCAGAGCGGTAGGCTGCCATCTTAACCGCTCGGCCATCCGGTCTACGACGACAAATTATCGATGATGATAAACTAAGGTACATAAATGCCTTAAAAGATATACACGGAATTTAAAAATTAACCATTTCAACATACAATCTTTGCGCAGTCAGCTAGATTCGTGAGACTTTAGGTAATCACCCAAGTGTTTCCAATCACACACTCCTTCATTGGATCCAATTCTTGTGTTTTCTAGTCCGAACGTTCGACACGGAAAGCAGTAAACGGCATCCTTTGTGAATAAATCATCCAGCACTTGTCAAGTTTTTCACCATTAGCTAATATTTTACTGTAATGATATTCGCTGAATCGCCGTCCATTATCATTTACAGGGAAAAAATCAACTTTAACCCGGATTGGACTTTTTAATACAATCTCAGTTTGGTCTACATCAGTAATTGTTAATGGCCACAAACCTGGGTCATTTTGAGGATTCAGATTTTCAATTCTGCCAGTCATGAATGTAGACA